CATCCCAATCTGACTGAGTCCCATTTGCCAGCATTTGGCTAATATCCCTGTAAACCTTTCCTGTTCGTATACCCATCCAGATGCCTTTTAAATGTTGTAATTGTACCTGCCTTCTGCATTTCCTCTGGCAGCTTGTTCCATACATGCACCACCTTCTGCATGAAAACTACCTCTTGGGTCCTTTTTAAATCTTTCCCCTCTCACCTTTAAACCTATGCCCTCTACTTTTGGACTCCCCTAACCTGGGAAAAAGACCTTGGCTATTCATCCTATCCTTGCCCCTCATGATTTTATAAACCTCTGTAATGTCACCCCTCGGTCTCTGCTCAAGGGAAAAAAGTCCTAGCCTATTCAGACTCTCCCTATAGCTGAAACCCTTCAGTCCTGGCAATATCCTTGTAAATCTTTTCTGCACTCCCTCAAGTTTAATAACATCCTTCCCTTTTGAAGGGTGACCAGAATTGTACACAGTGTTCTGAAAATGGCCTCACTAATGTCCCATACAGCTGCAATATGACATTCCAACTTGTAAAATCAGTTATGATCTGTGAAGGCAAGTGTGCCAAACACCAGCTTCACCACCCGGTCCACCTTCGACTCTACTTTCAAGGAATTATGCATCTGCACCCCATGTCTCTTTGTTCAGTATCACTTCTTTCAGCTCGACTATTAACTGTGTAAGTCTTGCCTGGATTTAACTTGCCAAAATGCAACAACTCACATTTATCTAAATTAAACTCCATCTGCCACTCCTTGGCCCAATGGCCCATCTAATCAAGGTCCCGTTGTACTCTGAGATGATCATCTTCACTGTCCACTACATCACCAATTTTGGTGTCATCTGCAAACTTGCTAATCGTAACCTTTTGTAATCCCAGCCAAATCATTTATATAAATAATGAAAAGTAGTGGACCCAGCACCGATCCTTTCAGCACACCGGCGATCATAGGCCTGCTGTCTGAAACTACCAATACCAGCCTCTCTCTCCTACCTTCAAGCCAATTTTGTATCCAGTTGGCTAGCGCCCCCAGATCACGTGATCTAACCTTACTAACCAGTCTACTATGCGGAGCCTGTCAAATGCTTTGAAGCCCGTATAGACGATGTTTGCCATTCTGCCTTCATCAGCCTTCTTTGAGCTTTTTTGAAGAGGTGACAATCAGATTGATGTGAGACATTTTCCCATGGACAAAGCCATGCTGACTATCCCTAATCAGTCCTCGCCTTTCCAAGTGCACGTAAATACTATCCCTTAGAATCCCTCCAACAACTTGGCCACCACTGAAGTAAGGCTCACCAGTCTATAGTTCCCTGGCTTTTCCCCTCAGCCTTTCTGAAATAACGGAAACGCATTAGCCAACCCCAACTCTTCTGGCATCTCACCCGTAGCTATCGATGATACAAATATCTCAGCAAGGGGTCCAGCAATCACTTCCCTAGCTTTCCACAAAGTTCTGGGAAACACCTGATCAGGTCCTGGGGATTTTGCTACCTTTTGTGTTTTAAGGACCTCCTTACGTAATATGAACACTTTTCAAGACATCTCTATTTATTTCTGAGTTCGCTAGTTTCCATGTGCCTTCTGAACAGCAAATACTGACGCGAAATATTTGTTTAGTGTCTCGCCTATCTCCTGTAGTTCCACACATAAATGGCCACGTTGATCTTTACGGGGCCCTTTCTTTCCCTAGTTATTCTTTTGTCCTTTAATGTATTTATAGAATCTCGTTGGATTCTCCTCAACTTTATTTGCTGAAACTATCTCATGTCTGCTTTTTGCCCTCCTGATTTCCCTCCTAAGTGTACTGTTACTGCTCTTGTACTCTTTTCGGGATTCACTCAATCCCAGCTGTCTATACCTGATGCATGCCTCCTTTTTCTTGACCACAGCCTCAATTTCTGTAGTCATCCAGCATTCCCTACACCTATCAGCCTTGCCCTTCACACTAACTGGAACGTAACTGCCTCTGAACTCTCATTATCTAATTTTTAAAGACTTTCCAGTTCCCAACCGACCCTTTATTTTGGAATAGCCTCCCCCGATCAACTTTTGAAAGTTCCTGCCTAATACTGTCAAAATTGGCCTTCCTCCAATTTAAAACTTTAATTTTTGACCAATTCTATCCTTTACGTAACTGTTTTGAAACTTATAGAATCATGATCACTTTTTCCAAAGTGCTCCCCCGTTGACATGTCAGTCACTTGCTCTGCTTAATTTCCCAGTGGAACGTCAGGTATCGCTCCTTCTCTAGTAAATACATCCACATAATGAATAAGGAAGTTTTCTTGCCCGCACTGAATAAATTCTTCCCATCCAAGCTCTTAATACAATGATAGTCCCAGTCCATGTTTGGAAAGTTAAAATCCCCGCTATTAAAATTCTGTTTTTCTAATAGATATGAGATCTCCTTGCATATTTGCTTTTCGGTTTCCTGCTGACTATGGTGGGGGGCCTATAATGGCAATCCCAACAAGGTGATCATCCCTTCCTCCTTTTTAAGTTTCACCCTATAACTTCACTGGATGATCTCCCAGGAATATCCTCCTTAATTACAGCTGTAATGTTCTCCTTGACCAAAAATGCCTCTTTCCCCCTCCCCTCTCGCATCCCTTTCTATCCTTCCTGATGTATCTATACCCTGGAACGTCAAGCTGCCAGTCCAGTCCATCCCTGAGCTGCATTTCTGTAATGGCTGTGATATCCCAGTCCCATGTTCCCAACCATGCCCCAAGTTCATCTGCCTTACCTATCAGGCCTCTTCCTTTGAAATAACTGCTTAATTTATCAGTCTTACCTTGTTCTCTGCCAAGCTGTTGCCGGCTTGAGTATTAGACTTGCTGCACTTGTCTACTGTACCAGCCTTTCTCTCTCCATGCTATTACTTTGGGATAACTTAATACCAATCCTTATTAAAAAAAATCAATCGAGACCGATCACAGTGCAAACATAAGAAAAAAAACGATGCTCTCACCTTGCTACCTATTATAGATTTACCAAAAAAATTAAGATTTAGAGGCTTTATATGTCTTGAAAATCAAACACCTAGCTCATCAGGCTCAAAACCAAAGGTCATCCTCTTCTGTAGTTTCAGGATATATTTTTTTTCTAAATCAGAGAAACCTCTGTGGCGCTGAGACCTCCCACGTCAGCTATGAAACTTCACTGCTTGTTTGTTGTTTCAGTAGAATCAGAATCCTCCTCCAAATTATTCCCACCTTCTTCCTTACTTAGTCTTGGTTTTCCTTTGGCCAAATCAAATTGTCTAATAGCCCTGTCTCCTTGCAGTTCAAATTGTTTTTAAAATTTCTCCTTCCTGTGTTTTTCTTTGAACTCAAGTATTTTCATTTCTCCTTCTCTAACTTCAGATTTTCATTTCCAGCTGTATCTGACCTGGTTCTTGCAATGACATCTCAATTTCATGTTTCCTTTATTCCAATTCTAAATGTTGAATAATCACTTGAAGAGTCTCCTTACAACATCCTTCCTTCTGCCTTCAATTTATCTGCTAATATTCTTAGTTTAGCTGTAGCCAGATATTTGAAATAGTCCACTTTTAAGTCTTGGACTCCCAGAAAACTGTGCAGTATTCAAAGCTGTCTTCAAAATTTGTGCCTTGATCTTCACCACACAGATCCTTCTTAAATCCACTAAAATCAAATTGTGTAAGAACGCACTCTTATCATCCCAGCTGATGTTCCTATTTGACAGGTCGGATCCCAGACTGAAATCTGGCTTAATGGTTCATATTTTGTTTATTTTTTAACTTGACATTGTGGCCTTTCAGTGAACCATAGCATGCAAGGCTGCATATTTAGCTTTAACAATAAAGCAAGTTTATTACAATAAAAAAAATGACGACATGGAACAAAGCAATTCAAACAAGTTTGCAGCATGGCTGAATAAAATCCTATCTTTGCCAGCACCATCACTTTGCATTTTCGGATACCAGCGAGTGTTCCTCTCTCTACTTTATATAAAAAAAAACATAAATAAATATGGGGGAACTTCAATAATGGTAGAATTTTATTGCGTTACTCTTGTTGCAAGCATCTCTCATTTTCTATTTTTTACCAGGTCCTACATTACCACTACTGTTGGTAATGACCTGTACACAACTACAAATGTTTGCTGTCCTATGCTGTGTCTAAGCCTCTCCCAAACTGACTGTATATTATGATTTTCTGAGCTAAGGTTCTCTCTTGCCTTTTGCCTGTGCTTGCTAAGTGTTGAATACCCTTGAACTTTCTGCTCCAGCATTGGACAATCTCTTGTTGAATATGTCATTGGTTTGTATAACTAGTAAGAATGCTGTTTGCATTCAGAGTGCCTTCAATTCTGTGTATTACTTTAGCAACCTCTAGCCGTATCAGCAGATATACACTCTTACGTTTGTATCCTCCGTCTGTTCCTGCATCATTTTGATCCCCATTTCTCTTACTGCTACTTCCCCGTTTTACGTTGTCCTCTCTAATTTATCATATCTTTTCTCACTAGATCCTTTGCTTCTACTATTTAAAGTACTCTATTCCTCTCTGTTACTTGATTGTCCAAAACACTGGTCCCAGCATAATGACAATATTTAAAGAAATAGGTCAAATCCCTGAGTAAGATAATTTCCCTGTGGTTACTCATGTTGTGATGTCACAGTGTCTGCAGCATTTTTAAACCATGTTCTGATCTCGAGGCCTGTCTTTTGACCAAATTGTTTGTTTTTAAATCCTCAGGCCATTTTACACATGGAAAAGATTGAGGCATTTTGATTCTGTTGATGTCTTTGGCAAAAGAATAGCTGGAAATATAGTTGCAGTTGATTTACTAATTTGCTCATTTTTGTGTTTCTACATGTTTAGTTTTAACTTGCACACTTCGAAATGTGATTGTACAAGAAGAAGCTGTGTTGGCTCCAGTCTTGTCTACAATCCTTTGTATAAAGCAGGCATGCAAAAGAACTGTTTCTGTTTTACTCTGTTTAATGGTTTAATTCTATATCTAATTTAGATTCCCGTGGATCTAACTGATAAGGAGTTTCTTCCTATTTTACAAGAGGAGCCCCTACCACCTTTAGCACTTGTACCTTTTACAGAAGAAGAACAGGTGAGTGATTTATGGTGTTAGAAATGATTGTTTTCCTTTTAAATGGATTGGCTTTTTATTTACTTGGAGTTCTATATGGAATAAGAGAATTTTATTTATTCAGAATGTTCATGCAACTTTTAATGATGGTGTACTGCTAATTTAACAAATCCAGTATTGTTCCATGTTAGCTTGGATTAAATTAGCTCCACAAATAACAGCCTGTTGGGTCTGATACATAAACGAGCAGGAGGGAGGAAAGGAATGGTGACCACAAAGCTGCACATTGCACTGATGCTTATGTAAATCAAGCAGATCTATTTATGATGTATAAGTAAATCTTATCTAAAATATTTCTTGAGATCATTTTAAATTTATTTTGCCTCGAGTCATAGCTTTAGGTTAGTGTTGATGGCATTTTCAGAATGAAAATCTTACCTTTTAATTAAATCAATATGAACGAGTGTGTTGCTGTTAATTGGATGTATAGGATTCAGTATCATTGAATTTACTAATTCTTCACTTTGACTTGCAATGTCACAATGTATTAACTGGCTTAATTTTGTTCTTTATTTAAACCCATCAGAGAAATTTTTCTATGTCTGTAAATAGTACAGCAGTACTAAGATTAATGGGACGAGGTGGAGGAACAGTGGTTGGGGCATCAAGAGGTAGAAGTTCCTCAAGAGGTAGAGGTAAGTGTAAGAAATTTAATGTTTGGTATTTGAGTAAGCCACTTGATGGGGTTAACAAATTAAACAGCTCTATGCCATTGTGTAATAAAACTGAAAACAATGGAAATACTCAGTAGATCTGGCAGCACCTGTGGAGAGAGCAACTGTTAATATTTTGAGTTGAGGACGCTGCTTCAGAATTGGGTTCAAAAGATTCATATTCAATTTGAAATGTTAAGTCTGTACCTTTTTTTTTCTCCTGATACTGCTACTGAGTTTTTCTAGCACTTTGTTTTTACTTTTGGCATCTGCAGCATTTTGCTTTTATTTCAGTGACAATTCACATACGTGCGTAAGTGATAAGTAATGATAGCAATAAGAACGGAATTTTCCACAAGTGTTTCCATTAAAAGGCTTCAGGAGTAATGTAAAACTTTTTTTGTTTTTCTACTTTGGTACCCAGTATTGACATCAAGTACTCCCAGGTGAGGTACAGCATGGGCCAGATGCAAAGTAAAGGACCATGTACAACATATATTTGGGCCAGGACAATAAGAGGTAGACATATTTTATTTCCTGCTGAGTGGAATACGGTATTTGTTCAACATGTAACTAAGCAGCCAAATCTGGACTACTTTCCTCTGAATTTCTAATAATGCTATGAGAAAGCGCACAAATGTTTTACATGAGTGGTTAGGATTTAGACTGTACTGGCTAGCAGTGTGACTGATACAGATCCAATAGTTGTCCGTTAAGAATTTGAGAAATACCTAATAGGGACAATATATTGCAAGGATATGTGGAAAGGGTGGGATTAACTGTATTGTTCTTCAAAAGAACTGCATAATCTTCATAGGCTAAATAGCCTCTTTCTTTGCTTCTGAATTGAGTGCCCATGGCGTCTCATTGCCTGACAGTTCTGCATGGTCAGCCATTAAAGTAAAATCTTCTAGTGCTATCCTGGTCCAATAAACACGAAAGCAAGTTAACAATATACAATAGAGCAGAACAAAGTCCTCTGCAGAAGGGTCCTTTTCACCAGTACTTGTATATATAAATTAAATTTTGCGCAGCACAGTGACTATTTCTCCCGAAGGATTCTGTAGTACAACTAAGTGGGTCAGTACCTCGTAGTGGTAACGAGACTTAAACTATCAGTGTTCACATCATTGCTGCTCTGAAACTGACACAAACCTCAGGAGGTCTGCATGGGGAAATCGAGAAATTCCCATCAGAAATTCTGTTTCTCTCAAGCGTTTGCTTTTGTCAATCTCCGTAAGTGTGAGCAGAACAGTCAATAAAATGACAAAAATGTTCACCTTTACATTGGTCAGACTGAAAAAACCTTTAAAGGTAGCATCTTAGTGAATTATTTGAATCTGTATTTTTGATGGCGTTCTAAATACATAATTACGAAATATCATCCAAGAAAAATCCCATATATTGAGAATGCCGTATTTCTACACTTAAGGCATGGAAAACCCACATTTTTGATAGAAATGTGATTAAAATGCGTGTTTTGTTGGTTTAAGATACAAGTCAGTTATCTAGAATCCTAGAGTCATAGAGCTATACAGCACAGAAACAGACCCTTTGGTCCAACGCATCCATGTCAACCAATTACTGTATCCTAAATTTAATCTAGTCCCATTTGACAGCATTTGGCCCATATCCCTCTAAACCCTTACTATTCATATACCCATCCAGATGCTTTTGAATGTTGTAATTGTACTAGCCTTCTCCACTTTCTCTGGCAGCTCATTCTATACATGCACCACCCTCTGTCTGGAAAAACATATTCCCCTTAGGTCCCTTTTACGTCTTTCCCCTCTCACTTTAAACGTATGCCGTCTAGTTTTAAACTCCGCTACCCTGTGGAAAAGACCTTAACTATTCACGTTATCTATGCCTCTCATGATTTTATAAACTTCTGTAAGGTTATCTCTCAGCCTCTGATGCTGCAGGGAAAATAGCCCCAGCCTATTCAGCTTCTCCCTATAGCTGACACTCTCCAACCCTGGCAACATCCTTTTGAATCTTTTCTGAACCCTTTCAAGTTTCACAATATCCTTTCTACAGCAGGGAGACCAGTACTGAACACACTATTCCAAAAGTGGCTGAATCAGTGTCCTGTACAACCGCAACGTGCCCTCCCAACTCATACTCAATGCACTGGCCAATAAAGGCGAGCATACCAAATGCTTTCTTCAGTATCCTATCCACCTTCTCTTCTGCTTCAAAGGAACTATGCACCTGCACTCCAAGGTCCTAGGGTGTTGCTGAACAAAGGGACCTTACCATTAAGTGTGTAAGTCCTGCCCTGATTTGTCTTTCCAAAATGCAGCACCTCATTTTGTCTGACACTCCTCAGCCCATTGGCCCATTTGATCAAGGCCCTTTGTGCTCTGAGAGAACCTCCTTTGCTGTCTGATCCACCACCAGTTTTAGTGTCACGTCCAAACAATTTATTTAAATGACAAAAAGCAGTGGACCCCACATCGATCCTTATGGCACAGCGCTGGTCACAGGCCTCCAGTCTGAAAAGCAACCTTCTGTCTTCTACCTTCAAGCCAGTTCTGTATCCAAATGGCCAGTTGTCCCTGTATTCCATGTGATCTAATCTTGCTAACCAGTCTACCATGCGGAACCTTGTCACATGCCTTACTGAGGTCCATATAGATCATATCCACTGCTCTGCTTTCATCAATCCTGTTTGTTATTTCTTCAAAAAACTCAATCAAGTTAGTGAGGCGTGATTTCCCACATGCAAAGCCATGTTGACTATTCCTAATTGGCCCTGGTCTTTCCAATTACATGTAAGTCCTGTCTTCAGGATCTCTTCCAACAACTTGCCCACCACTGTCAGGCTGGCTGTAGTTCCCTGGCTTTTCCTTACCACCTCTCTTAAATAGTGTCACCACATTTGCCAACATTCAGTCTTCTGGCACCTCATCTGTCGCTATCGATGATACAGATATCTCGGCAAGGGGCCCAGCAATTGCTTCCCACAAAGTTCTAGGGTACACGTGATCAGGTACCTGGGATTTATTTACTTTTATGTATCTTAAGCCGTCCAGCATCACCTCTGTAAATGGACGTTTTCCAAGATGTTACTGTTTACTTGCCCAAGTTCTGTTGCTTCCATATCCTTCTCCACAGTAAACACTGTTGCAAAATACTTGTTGAGTATCTTCCCATCTCCTGTAGTTCCACAAATAGGTGGCCTTGTTGATGTTTAAGGGGTCCTCTTCTCTCCCTAGTTACCCTTTTGGCCTTAATGTATTTGTAGAATCCCTTTGGATTCTCCTTAACCCTGTTTGCCAAGGATATCTCATTCCCCTTTTTGCTCTCCTGATTTCCCTCTTAAGTATACTCCTACTGCCGTTAGATTCTTCTATCAATTCACTTAATCCCTTCTATCTATATCTGACATATGCTTCCTCCTTCTTAACCAAAACCTCAATTTCTCTAGTCATCCATCATTCCCAGCACCTACCAGTCTTGCCTTTCACCCTAACAGGAACATACTGTCTCTGGACTCTTATCTCATTTTTGAAGGCTTCCCACTTCCCAGCTGTCTCTTTACCTGCGAATATCCGCCCCAATCAAATTTTGTAAGTTCTTGCCTAATACTGTCAAAGTTGGCGTTCTTCCAATTTGGAACTTTAACTTTTAGATCCGGCTTGTTGTTTTCCATCACTATTTGAAACTAATAGAATTATGATAATTGGCCCCATAGTGCTCCCCTCAATGATACCCCAGTAACCTGCCCTGCCTTATTTTCCAAGAGTAGGTCAAACTTTGCTCCTCCTGTAGTAGGTACATCCACATACTGAATCAGAATTTTCTCGTACGCACTCAACAAATTCCTCTCCATCCATGCCCTTTAACACCGTGGCAGTCCGAGTCTGTTTGGAGAGTTAAAATCCCCTGCCATAACCGCTGTATTATTTTTTGCAGGTAACTGAGATCTCCTTACAAATTTGCTTCTCAATTTCCTGCTGACTGTTTGTTTTGGGGGTGTGGGGTGTCTATAATACAATCCCAAAAAGGTGATCATCCTTTCTTATTTCTCACCCAACTTCCCTGGACGTACTCTCAGGAATATCTTCCCTAAGTACAGCCATAAATGTTATCCCTAATTAAAAATGCCCCTCCCCTCCTCTCTTGTCCCTCTGTCTATCCTTCCTATAGCATCTATACCCTGGAAATTAAGCTGCCAGTCCTATCCAGCCCTGAGGCACGTTTCTGTAATCATTTTGATATCCCAGTCTCATGTTCCCAACCATGCCCTGAGTTCATCTGCCTTACCTGTCAGGCCCCTTGCATTGAAGCAAATGCAGTTTAATTGGTCAATCCTACCTCATTCTCTGCTTGTTCCTGTCTACCCTGACTTATTGACTTGCTCCTTTTCCCAAGTGCACCAGTCTCTGACTGAACTCTGTTCTCACTGTCTCCCTGCTTGTGTCCCCCTGCCTCCCCAACCAATTAAAACCCTCCCGAGCAGCTCTAGCAAATTTCCCCGCCAGTATATTAGTCCTCTTCCAATTCAAGTGCATTCTGTCCTTCTTATTCAGGTTATTTTACTGTTTGAATTTGTGATCATTGTGTCTGGTTTCTTGGTTTATTGTCTGTACTGGACTTGGCACAAAATATAAGCTAACATTAGGAAAGAAGAAATCCAGCGGTTAGTAGACATGTGAGCAGCTTTCTTTTGTGGTCAGCAATGAGTACAGTAGCTTTTTTAAACTGTAAATCCAGCCCAGATTATTTGTTAAATGTTTGTGATTAAAATGAGTTGCTTGTATCAACCATAAAAGTGAGAATCATTTAGTTTGCATTAACATTATTTGACAAGTTGCTGATTAAAATTTCATTTGTGCATTCTTTATTTTGGACAGAAATGGCTGTGCTTAGTTGTTAAGAATCTTGATTACAGGCTGGGCTTCAGTCTTGATTCCAAGCAGAAATCTTTTTTCAATATAAAGTGTGCTGAACTTCTGTATCTATTCATTTAAATA